CCGGGCCGGGCCGGGCCGGGCGGGCGGGGGGAAGTGGTCCTGCTCTGCCCCTGCATCAGCCCCTTCTCCCCCTGCGTGTCCAGCTGCAGCGCCCCCGGGGCTCTCGGCTTCCCCCCGCACAAGCCCTGCTCAGCCTCGTGCTGGGTCCCGCGGGGCCAGCTCTGCCCCAGGCCCCTCCGTAGAGCCCCAGAGAAGTGGGGCTAGGGGCAGGTCCCCACCACCCCAGACACTGCGTCACCTGCGTGCTGCCCGAGACTGGCATTGACCCGAGACTGGCATTGACCCTGACAGCACCCCAGCCTGCCAGAGGCAAAGCAGGGGAGCCGCGGTACTGACACCCCTCTTCTGTGACAGGTTGCCAGCAGATGCTCAAGAGATCCCAGGTAGGGGCCATGTCCCCGCTGCAGAGAAAGGCAAACGCCCCGCACCCCCCATCCAAGCAATCTCATCATGGGGTAACATTGCTTTTAGACCTCAAGCGTGGCAGCAGTCTGACCCCAACCAACCCTTTAGCCAGGACCCTCTGGCTTGGTCTCAGCAGGAGTGTTGGCACAGTCAGTCAGATGTGTACACGCCACGGGGGGTTTTGCCTTCCTCTGTAGTGGGGGGCATGGCCCTCTACCCAGGATCTCCTGAGCATATAGTGATGTTTCAGAGAAGCGGGGCGTTGGCTGTCATGGTTCCCCTGCTTTACCTGTGCCAGATTAGGGTGTTAGGTCTGTTGCGTCAGGGTTGATAGTTATCTTTTGTAGAGCGTAGGATAGATGATGGGTTTGTCTGGGATGGTCTGGATAGGATTGATCCTTCCTCAAGCATGGGGTTGGACTAGGATCAGTGTTTCTCAGCCTATGGGTCGCAACTCAAAAGTAGGTCGCAAGAAGATATGAAAGGGTCACGAACAAAATTTTAAACGTGGATCAATAGACATTTAAAGAAGGATCTGTTTTTAAAGAGAAAAACATGGGAAACTCTAGCTTTTCCCTTGCAGGCTGGCAGAGTTCCCCCTGTGAGGGGCTGCTTGGGGCCCCCCACCCCACACATTAGGGGGCTGGGGGCAGGAGGCAGCAGGTCAATAGTGACAGGCACCGAGCTGGGACTGGCCATCGATGTTTACAAATGGGTCCTGGTACAAAAAAGGTTGAGGACCACTGGATGATCTCTGGAGGCTCCTTCCAGCCCTGCATCTCTGCGATTCTGAGTCCCCAGCCTTGGCTGTAGTCAACACCCAGTGCCTCTGAGGGGGGCTTAAAAACACCCTGGCACGTGTAGCAGATGGTGGTGGAAGGGGGAGGCAGGGGCAGCCAGCAAAGCCTGGAAGTATGAGAAATGCCCATAGCAGAACACAGGCATAGCTACACCTCTTTTATCCCCAATCAGTGGCTGTCCAACTGCTCCTTGAAGACCTCCAGCGATGGAGAGTCCACAACTTCTCCAGTAAGTCTGCTTCATGAGAAGCTCTCAAAAAGGGATTGGCCAAGTTTTTGGAGGAAAAAGGCATCAGCCACTATTGAGCATGGGGGTTAGGGGTACAGCATCTGAATCAGAGCTTCCTAGATCTTCAATGCTGAAGGCTTCAAGTGAGAGAGGAACAGTGTGAAAAAACAACCCTGGTCACTCTGCCTTTCAGCATCCGCTGTCTTCCACACCATGGTGTGACACAGGCCTATATGTTGTCTCAGAAGAATTGTGGGGCAGTGCCCACCAAGTAAACTACTGGAAAAGCAACAATGAATTGCTTGGGACAAGGGAAAGCATAACAGGGAGAGGAGTGAAGGCCACAGGTTTATAACTAGTGCACCGAGTGGGGATACCGAGTGCCTGCTGGCATGCTGCAACACAGGCCTATTTGGCACTTTAGGGGTTTATGGGTGAAAGGCCCACCCTGTGAAACTATAAGCCCCCCCTCAAAAAAGGAGGCTACTAGGAAAGTGGCAACTAATTGTTGCTTGGAACAGATGATAACAAAGTAGCAATGGGAGTGAGGGTCAGAGGTTCAAAACTAGTGTGCCAAGGTTCAAAACTAGTGTGGCCAAGGGGTGACACCGAGTAGAGCACATTGGGCAGTGTGACACAGGCTTATTTGTTGTCTAGGGACCCTAGACCAGTGCACACAAGGAAATACTATAAGCCTTCTTAGGGAGGCCACTGGTTAGGCAACAACTGAGTGCTGGGGACAACGAGAGACAGTGGACAGGTGTGTGGGTCAAAGGTTTAAAACCAGGATGCCAAGGGTGGATACCAAGCAGCACACCGGGCAGTGCCCACTGGCACAATGTGATACAGACCTATTTGTCACATTGAGGAACGTAGGTCTAGGCCCACCAAGTAACCTACTGGCCTTTCTCAGGCAGGGAGGCCAAAAAAAGGTGATAACTGATTACTGGGGACAAATAGTAAAAAGAAAAACAGGGACAGGGGTGCTGGTCGAAGGTTAACGAGAGGGCCAAGGAGAGACACTGAGCAGAGCACTGGCATGGTATGATGCAGGAAACTGGGCAAGGTGGACCCATGATGTGACCCAGTAAATTCCAGTTCTTATGTTCTCTCCTAACCACACTCAAGATGTCACTCCAAGTCAGGGCCAGTCCACAGTACACATATTGCCGTGGCCCTGCCCCAGCAATGGACCTTGGTTGAAATCATGCAGGGCGTCTCTTATTCCAGGCACAAACAGAGTCTTCCAGAGAGACCACACTAGTCCCTGGTTCATGCTGCAAGCCGGTGATGACTTGAGTGGGCTAGGAATCCACCTTCTCTCCATCCTGCCATCTTTATCCACTACCTCCTGCAGCCTGGGACTACAGAACTAAGGGGGAAAAAAGAGCTTACACTCAAATGTTTAATTATGATATGTCTATAGAAAGTATTTCCCTTATGTTTTCTGTATCTGTAGGTATGGACAGAGAATGCCTTTAGCTGTGGATTGCACTACTGATCTGATTCGCTGTAAGATCCTGGATATGTCTGGCAATGTGAGCTCCCACGAGCTGGTCCTTTCCTATGGTCTAGCCCTGGTGAGGTAAGACTTAATCTGTTAGATACAGTAGGGGATGTGGGAAAAAATCCAGGGAGGGCATGATTCCCTTTGATAATTTAATTCTGTAGCTCTCCAACAGCCACAGTTGGGTTTGCAAATTAAGCCTTAAGAAAAAACAGAAAGAACATTTTCTTCTCTTTTTGCACATCAAGTTATGGTGGGTTTTTTCTTGTTTGTATCCTACGCATAGGTTTGTGAATCTCATCACTGAGCGCAAACAGAAGATATTTTACATTCCTCTGAGAAGACTAGCTAAAGAGGTGGGTATTGGATTCCTTAGTGGAGCGATTCACAAAGGAAACTTCACAGGCCCTCAAGGCCATTTAGTTCACAAACCTTATTTTTTGCGTCACATTTTTTAAAATAGCATTAGGTTTAGTGTATGGATCTATTTTTTTTGAGGGGAGGGAGAGGATGAGGACAGTGGGCTGGGGAAAGAAGCACACTCTCATGAAGACAGCTTGCTAGCAAAGATGAAGTAACAGCAACATTTGGGGACTGTGATACTCACAGCTCTGTCTCACATCCAGGAATGGGAATGGTGACTTGGTAGGCGTATCCCTCTGATTTTCCTTGGTCTGAAGTGTTGCTTTTGATTTCTAATTCTGAAGGAGAGAAGGAAGTAGTCTCCAATGACCAACCAGGCATCAAAATATTGAACTCGCTGCAGTAAATGAGTATTTTCCAATCTGAACTGTGGCCTAAACTGCTTCATAGGATTAAATAATGATAAGGATCTCAGTGTGAACAGTGCATCTCTTAAAAGCATCACCTAATGTTGTTGCAAACATTTCAGATCTTTGGAACTTCAAACTACAGGTAATTCCTCCCAAACCCTTATTCAACTTCACTCCTGCCCCAGTTCCTGGTAATTTCTCTCCTTAGTTGCATTGAGGAGCCTTTAACGTGGGCTGGTTCTTAGAACTACATAAACTACCCTCTTGCACAAACTACCAGGCACCTCACTCAAAAACACCAACAACACCCTAACTGACCACAGGGCACAGTCATGGTCCTGCCACTGCAAGGACATAGGGATGTGAAGTAGTTTAAGATATTCAAGAAGGAGGACCATGCCACCCTGCTGCACTGCCCCCTGTCCCCTCCCCCACTGCCATGGAGGTACTGGGAGGAAAATAATTGACAATACAAAGGTTAATCTGACTGCAAAATAGCAAACTGGTATAGAGGGACTAGTGTTTTACTTGAAGGTACTTCTAAAGAACTATAGATTTTCTTGAAGGGATGGTCCTAACTAAAGTCATATTAAAGCGTAGTGTGGAAGAATAGACATCCTCATCTAAGGCTTAGAATGAAGTTGATGAAGCAGAGGTGCAGGAAGGCTATTCAGACAGGCAGAGCCACAGAGGAGGATGTTCCGGGCTATAACAGGCTTTTCGAATCCAGCCTTACTGTTGTGATTGCCATTAGATGCAACACGTGTTGTTCAGAAACAGTTGTGCTTCTTTTTAAGATGAATATCCCAGTTTGGGTTGTGGATCTTCGTCATGATCTAACCCACGGGAAGCTGCCCCAGCTAAATGCATGCCGAAAAGGTAAGTGCCATGCTCATCCTACTTTGCATAAAAAGGAACTTTTCCACCCATGGTAAACTATAACATTTTTATTCTCCTGTGCATTGTGAATTTTAATTTTTACCTGGAGGAAGTGTTACAATCTGTACTTTCTCCTTTGCCTGAGGAAGGGCATATGAGCCCAAAAGCTTGCAAATAAAGGATTTTTTTTTGCAACTATTTAGTTCGTCTAATAAGAGATATCATCTCTGCCAAAAGTTCTGCATTTTTTTTCGCCTGTAGACCAACATGGCTAAAACATGTATCCATGCTCATCCTACACACACAGCACATCTGCTTCCTGATTCTGGGAGTCATCTTACTCTGAGATGCTCTCTTCTTGTGGGTCCACTAGGTGGTGCTGTAATACCAGAGTCTGCTGCCCACATAGTAGCAGGTGATAGAGGAAAGTGGTTCCTCCAAGGGGAGGCTGCGGGGAGAGTCCAGCCAGGTGGAAACGATTGGCATGTCCATGATAGAAGGGTGGCAGGAGAAAGAATGGGGACGAAGAAAGA